GACTATATCATCTTACTTTGGTGAAAAAGAAGATAAAAACATACAACCAAAAGAAGACAACAAAGTCAAAGCTCCTACATCCAAAGCCTCCAAGAAAAATATGAATCCATTCCAGGCCTTGGAAAAGCTCAAAAGGGATTTTGAGAAGCAAGGAAGAGAAGTAGAGGAAAAACTGGGAAGAGAAATGAAAGTGATGCAAGAAAATCATGAAAAACAAGTCAACAGCTTGCTAAAGGAGAGCCCAAAAAATACTGAAGAAAATAACACCTTAAAAAACATCCTAACCCAAATGGAAAAAGAGGTCCAAAAAAACAATGAGGAGAAGAATGCCCTAAAAAACCAAACTGGCCAAATGGAAAAGGAAGTCCAAAAGCTTACTGAAGAAAATACTTCCTTAAAAATTAGAATAGAGCAATTGGAGGATAGTGACTTTATGAGAAATAAAGACACAGTAGAACAAATCCAAAAGAATGAAAAAATAGAAAACAATGTGAAATATCTCATTGGAAAAACAACTGACCTGGAAAATAGATCCAGGAGAGAGAATTTAAGAATTATTGGACTTTTTGAAAGTCATGATCAAAAAAAGAGCCTAGACATCATCTTTCAAGAAATTATCAAGGAAAACTGCCCTGATATTTTAGAACCAGAGGGCAAAATAGAAATTGAAAGAATCCACCAATCTCCCCCTGAAAGAGATCCCCAAAGGAAACTCCTAGGAATATTGTAGCCAAATTCCAGAGTTCCCAGGTCAAGGAGACAATATTACAAGCTGCCAGAAGGAAACAGTTCAAGTACTATGGAAACACAATCAGGATAACATAAGATTTAGCAGCTTCTACCTTAAAGGACCGCAGGTCATGGAATATAATATTCCAGAGGGCAAAGGAGACAAGATTACAACCAAGAATCACCTACCCAGCAAAATTGAGTATAATCCTTCAGGGGAAAGAATGCTCATTCAGTGAAATAGAGAACTTTCAAGCATTCTTGATGAAAAGACCAGAGCTGAACAGAAAATTTGACTTTCAAATATGACTCAAGTGGAACATGGAAGAGGTAAACAGAAAAGAGAAATCATAAGAGACTTGTTAAGGCTGAACTGTTTACATTCCTGCATGGAAAGAGGATATTTATAACTCATGAGACCTTTGTCAGTATTAGGGTAGTGGGAGGGGAAAAAATTATATGTATGTATGTATAGACAGATAGATAGATAGAGGGCACAGGGTGAGTTGAAGATGAAGGGGTGATATCTGGAGAACAAAATTAAGGGGTGAGAGAGGATTATACTAGGAGAAGGAAAAAGGGAGAGGTAGAATGGGGTACATTATCTCGCACAAAACAGACAAGAAAAGATTCTCATATTCTAATGGAGGAGGACAATACACAAAGGGGAAATGAAAAAGGAAGGAGAAAACATGGAAATTCTGGTTCAATCTTGGAGGAACTGAACTATGTCAATACTGATGTTCTCACTATGAGTGACACCAGAAGACAAAGAAGTTACAACTAAAGGTAAAGAAGGCTCACAGGTTCACCTTGGAGAAATGAATAATGGTAGAATCGGTTTCATTAGAGTGGAATGGAATGGAATAAGCATTTATTAAGTGCCTACTTTGTTCCAGGCATTGTCCTAAGCTCTTTACAAATATTATCTCATTTGAAATTCTCATTATGTGCCTAAAAATAATAAGAAACATCATTCCATAGGACATTTGGTCATCTCCCCTTATATTGCTAATGATCAGTAGAAGCAAACAGATGACCATGAAGATAATGAACATAATTGCGCAGGGTGAAGAAATAGAGAAATTCTATCAAGCCCTTGCCAAGATTATCTACACAAAATCCGCATAAAAACTTTGATAATGTCATGTCAATGAGAAATCAGGCACAGGACAGGACAGCAAAAACGACAAATCAAATCAAGAAATGGAAAAGGACAAAGGCTTACAAATGACTCAGAAGTCTCCTGTCTAAGTTCATTGAGAAAGGGCAGGAGGCACTGGATTTTGTGATCACAAAGGCATAATAATTACTGAAAATTGCTAACAGATAGGAAATGCCTGGCTACTGACTTGGAGTCATTTGAGAATCAGTTGTCTGGGTGCAATCAGATCATTGACTTGGTTAGAGCAAAGTAAATATTAAAATTAAAGAAAAGGCATGAGGTAGTACCTCAGTATTGTATTAATTTGCTTTTCTCCAATCAACAGTGATTTAGAGCATTTTTTCAAATGATTATAGATAGCTTTGGTTTCTTCTAAAAACTGCCTGTTCACATATTCTTTGACCGTTTATCATCTAGGAAATGGCTCTTACGTTTATGTTTGCTTCAGTTCCCTATATAGCTGAGAAATTAAACCTTTATCAGAGAAACATGCTATAAAATCTCCCCTCCCCCAGTTTCCTGTTCTCTTTCTAATCTTGGCTGCATTGTTTTCATGCAAAACCTTTTTAACTTAATGTAATCAAAATTATCCACTCTTGAGCCCATTTCTTTTTTTATCATAAATTCTTCCCTTATCCATAGATATGACAAGTAAAATTTTCCATGTTCCCTTAATTTGCTTATGATTATCACCTTTTATGTCTAAATCATATTTGACCATATCTTGGTATACAGTGTGAGATGTTGGTCTACCTCTAGTGTCTGCCAAACTGCTTTTTAGTTTTCCCAGTAATTTTTGTCAAATGGTGAGTTCTTGTCCCAAAAGCTTGGATCTTTGGGTTGATTAAACACTAGATTACTATGGTCCTTTAATAGTGTGTTTTGTGTACTTAATCTGTTCCACTGATGCACCACTCTATTTCTTAACCAGTACCAGATTGTTTTGTAATGTAGTTTGAAATCTGGTATTGCTAGGCCACTTTTCTTCACAAGTTTTTTCATTGACTACTTTGATATTCTTGATTTTTTATTCCTCTAGATGAATTTTATTATTTTTTTAGCTCTATCAAATAATTTTTTGGTAGTTTGGTATTGCACTGAATAAGTAGAACTTTTTTTTATTATATCATATTGGCTTGACTTACCCATTTGAGGTAGACTGAAGTGCACCTAGAAAAGCACAACTGGGATGGTAGAGGGTCTCCACTTCTGGCCACGTGAGGCTTGGTTGGAACAGAGCTAGAATTTGCTAGACCATCAGGTTCCTTCTGACAGAAAATTTGTGATGTGCTAAGAATTGAAAAATTATCATGGCAAAGTGAGCAATGTTTTCTATATCTTGGGGAAAAACCTGAAAATACTTGTAACCACATTTCTTTCCATGCAGAATTATGTTAGCCAAGGCAAGCAGTGACATTTGAGCCTGGTCTAGGGTGGTGGCAGTGGGAAAACAAAGCAAAGAATTGGGTGCAAGAACCATCACAAAGGAAAAATCAATAGCATTTGGTAAACAGATATTGGATAGAGAGGCAGAAGACAAAGATAACTCAAGATTTAAAGCCTAAGACTGAAGGGCTGTTAGTGCCTTTTCCTCTAAGTTTGCCTTGTTATCTGTACATTTTTTGTATATACCTATTGTATATGACATATCATCTCCTCTAGAATTTAAGTTCCCTGAGGGGAAGGACTGCTTCAGTTTTGCTCAGCACTTACCACATATTGACAGTTCAATAAAAGCTTGCTGGTTTATTAGAAGAATGAAGATGGAGAAGCTATGGAGAAGATGCTGAGTTTTTATTTTTAGGCACTGACTTCAAATTGATAACAGGACATTCAGGTAATGACCAGTAGTAGCTGGAGATGCATGACTAGTGCTTGAAAAAGTCTGGAGTAGGTTAAGATATTGAGATTTGGGAGTAATTTTTATATATTTAATAGGCCACGAGAAGAGATTAGATCTCCAAGAGAAAGGAGTGAAGGATTGTGCATAGTATCTTTGGCTTCTGACTTAACAAGTGTGTGTGTGCTATACCCCCAACCCCAGAGTGACTGGAAAATGCAGATGCCCAATAGTTCCAAAAGGATAGCACTTTGAAGGAAACTTTTTTTGATCTGCTTCCGATTACCCAGTTGTTTAGGTATGGGAAGACATGTTGTCTTCGGGTTATATATGGACTTTGCAGAACTCCCACTATTGTCAGTTTGTTTCAGAAGATGAAATCTGTTTAAATAAATAGGGGCTTCTCTTCTCCAAGGCAGCAGGTCAGATATTCTGGAGGGAGATACTGGGGCACAGATGAAGGAACATTGCCAGTAAGAAAGGTATGAAGCAAAGGGGCTGAAGAAAAGAATAAAGAACATCTTTCAGGGTCTGAGAATGAAGCTTTAGGAGAAGGAGGAACCCAACTCTGATGGATTTAGAGCCTTTAGTCTAGTCCCTATAATATTACAGACAAATGAGAAGGAAAAATGATAGATACTACAAGTATTTGCCTGTGGGTCTCAGCAAAAGACCTGGTTGCTGTGAAAAAAAAAGACCAGACTAGAAAACCTTTCTGTTTCCATGTAGAAAGGAAAGATGGTGTGGCAGGCTTAATGCTTCTGATTTAGAGGGTCTTGCAAATCAGCACCCACCTTCGGGGTTTTTGTGGCTGGCTCAAACTCTAGGCTCAAGTGGAGTACTAGCTGGGAAGACACTCTTTTGGTATTATAAGATGAAAATCAGAACGGTCACTATGATGAAAAGGAAAGAGGTCTCTTGATCCACCTGAAGATGGAGTATTTTAGATATACCTCCTCCTCATAGCCTTTCTAGAACCCCCTACTCACATTTTGCATTCTTCATGGAACCAAAGGTGAGTTCAGTCCCCACATGGCTCAAATAGCAAAGGCATTTATCACAGAAGCCTAGGCTGAGATCAGTCCAATAGCTCTCCAGGTTCATGAACTCCAGACATATTGTCTTTGTTGCACTGAAGCAGCCATGCTTGCTCTCTGGATGACCATGCTAAGCATGGATTGATGGGCCAATGGACAGAAAAGCACAAATGAGGGTATAGGTATGTTATGAGATGAATTTGTAGACAAAAACATGCCTTAGAGCTCATAACAAACAATAACAAAAGTAGAAAATTTTATTGTTACTTCATAGTATAATTCTTTCATACAAACATAAATAAAATGATAAATTATAAGGTTGACAACCTCTTCTTTTGGAAAACAATGAGACTATACATACATGCTCATTTTTTCTCTGCTTCCAAATGTACACATTTTATTTCATCTAGTTCTCAATATAGTGTTACCAAAAATTCAGTTTAAAATTAAAAATCTCTTCTTGCAAATGAGGAGAAAGATAGTGTAATATAAAAACACAAATTACCTGAATTTGGATCAATCTTTGCTTTATGAAATGCCCAATATAACGTTTCATTTGAATTATCCACAGCTAATTCTGAGCTTGAATATTAAAAATAACCATTAAAATGGCTATTGATAAAATTTCCATATACATCTTTTACATAATTTAAACCAAGATCTGTCCCTATGGACCACAGAAAGGTCCTATTTTGTAATGCTTGTTCTAGAAAAGCTATAAGCTCAACTGTGACAGCTTTAATTTATTTATGAAGTTTACTGCATTCATCCATCTATAGCCTGACCTCAAAAAAGGAATTGTTATAAATGGAAGTGGTGTTTGGGATTTGTTGGTTTAAACACAATCCTATGTTCCAAAGTCACAGTTTTAAACAACTGATAGATTTAATTGCCCTTTATTCTAGAAGGATACCAGATGTGGGAAGAGCCACCTCAAGGAAGGATGAAGGTAAAACTGAGAAAAGGAAAAGAAAAATAATTTTGAACACTGAAAAACAACTGTTCTCCTTCCAATCGTTGGGGATGCCACACTACCTGCTTGGCTATTCTGAATGATGCCCTTTGATACTACACTCAGGTTACTCCTTCAAGAGTTTATAAGAAAAACAGAAATTGCTTTCTTGGCACAAAGAAAATGAGCCTATGTTAAATAACAATGTAATCCTACACACATTTTTCTCTAAAGCTTTCCATTGCTATTACATAAGTAATAGCTTACAAATAAATTAAGTTACCTATAATCATTCAATACAGGTGTTTTCCTCTAGATAATTTAGCATAAGTTAGTTGACATTTTCCCTACAAACAGAATGTAGCACCACATCATTTTTAAATCTTATCCATCAAAGATAATTTATCTTCTACCTTCCTTGCTTGTTTGAATAATCTGTGACAATCTTTCGGCCGCAGGCTCCATGTCTATCTTCTGCAGCTCTGCTTTTTCTCCTCCTCCCAGGTATACACACTCCCTTCCCTTTCACCCTTAACATTCAGGGACGTTCAATCCATCTGAGAAAGGAACTGGAACAACAACTCCTTGTCGGTGAAGCTCTCGGAGAACATCCAATATGGAGTCTAATTCCACACGGAATTTTTCTAGCTCCTGATTCTTTAGCTGCGCCAGCCTTTTCCATTTCTCCACTTCCTTTTCTTGCTCAGTTTCAACCACCTGGCGCGTCTGTTGTATTATCTACAAATAAAGCATTTCCAAGTTATATTCATTGTTCTAGAGGGTGACAAACAAATCTTTTAGGCTTATTCTGAATCACAAAAGCAAGCAGTACAGGACACAGAGAATCTGCCAACCCCACTGCCATAGGCTGATGGAGAACCTGCATCAGTTCAAAATTGATAAATGAATCTCAGCTTTCTTTATCAAAACAGCCTTCAGGCTGGGACATTTACTCTTATGTCACAGACATGTGGGGATTTAAACACTAACTTGTATCAAATATTACCCAGCTTTCTGACACAATTTAAGAAGTCATGAATTGCTCATATGTTAGGGTAAAATTGTCTGCTTTTTAAGAGCCTGAACACCTAGACAGGATCAGCAAGCTAGGGAAGGAAAGAAAAGAGAATAAGCATATATTCAGTGCCTACTATGTACCAGGCACTGGGCTAAGAGCTTTACATATATCTCTTTGATGTTCATGACAATCTTGGGAGATAGGTATTATTATTATCATCTCTATTTTACAGTTAAGGAAACTGAGTCAAACAGAGTTTAAGTGACTTGCCCAACGTCACACAGTTAGTGTGGTGGGATCTGAACTCAGTTCTTTCTGACTCCAGCCCTAGCTCTCTATCCACTGTGCCACCTAACTGCCCTAGAGTCAAATTCTGTAGACAGGGAGCTAAGAATAGTGTTCATATGTGTAAATAAAATTTTACTGCATTTAAATATGAAAAAAAAACCTCTTCTAACTGGAGAACACACACAAAAAGGTGGGGAACAGATTTGGCCCTTAGGATGCAGTTTGCCAGCCTCTGGACCCAGAAAAGGATAGCTACTGCTTTCCGTGAATATAGTGAAATGTAATTAAGAAATGTTTAGTAGAATGACTACAGTGGGCTTATTCTAAGGATTTTCTCCTCTGCAAAACATGGGGGCTAGATTAGATTATTTTTAAGGTCCCCTCCTAGTTCTGATATGTTACCTAGTGACAAGAGGGCACATCATTACTACTTACCAGCTGCAAAGTGCTTTATGATAATCTAATACTAAATAACACACATATTACCTACTGTAGGAAGCTCGGCAAAGGAAATCTCCCCCAGTTAAAAAAACAGAAATCCCTAAACATCACTTACTCTAGACCTGCCAGGGATAGTTTATGTATGTTTGCCTGGATTCTGATAACTGGATTGGTTAATTCCGTTATGATTCTTTCAATTCAATTAAATCAAATCAAAGTTTATTTCTTTACTTGCTATTTGCAAAGGCACCATGTTAGATGTTGTGGTAGACACAGAGAAACATAAAACAGGGCAAGATGGAATTGTAATTTTTTTTATTTATAGCAAACATATTTTTATTTGATATTAAAATGACTCATTCAGGATTCAGTATTTTCATTAATCAAAATTACTTAATCCTGAAGAATTGCTATTGTTCACAATTATCAGCTTTTTGCTGATCTGGCACTAGCCATTTAAAAGATTTAATATTTAACATAAACAGGTAGAGGGTTACTACTTTGGATTTTCAGGCTTGGTAAAAACACAGGGCAATGTTTCTATGTGGCTGGGTACAGCCCTGAAAGAGCTGCAATACGAGGCAGAGGGAGCCAACAAAATACAAATCTCTATCCAGGTTCATTTAAGCCTGAATTCAGGAGTTCTTTGCCTGGGACTGTAAACTTCTTTTTTTTTTTTTTAAATATTTTGATAACCATATTTCAATATAATTGGTTTCTTCCTGGGAATTTTCCTATGTATTACATACATTAAAAACAAAAGAAACCAAAATTATTCTGAGAAGAGGTCCCTATGCTTTGCCAGACTGTAAAAGAAGTCCATGACACAAGAAAAGCTATGAATCTTTGCTATGATTTTATTTAGATCTATGTCCAGAATTAATTTGGCATCTTACTATATGATACATGTAGATGATTTCTAAAAATCCCTTCTGGTCCTAAAATTCTACAATTATATGAAATATTTTGAGCCCATTACTTCTTGCCTTTTGTTTCAACCTGAAGTGTCCAAAAGTCCTGGTTTTTGGCTACAAGTGCCACATTTAGAACATGGATTCTTTAGCAATCAACATGTTTACTTGTAATGAAAACTGTGACGGCAGAATGCAGGTTAAGGAAGCAAATGTTTCAAACATTCACCATCCACTTGGACACATTATTGATAACCTACATCACAGAATGGCATTCTAGAGCTTCCTGGTGACACTTCAGTGGAACTAATTCAGTGGGATACCCTAATGACACAGTGCTGATGGGCATTTAGTCATATGGTGATTCTGAGTACCTGAGAAGAAAGTCTAACAGTATGAGATCAGGAGAACAGAGAAGTGATCCTGTATTTTTTTCTTCTTCTTATCCATATTTCTGAATTATTTCTTAGCTCTTGGATCACTGAAATGCCCAAATCTTTGACTTTATAGTATCATCAGCCTCAATCTTACCATGTAAACTTAAACTGGTCATACGTGTATGATTCTCCCAAATTACTGTCATGTGTTCAATGGTTTTGTACCTCAGTAACATTTTTATTTTCCATTAGCATACTAAAAATCTGTGTGAATATTAGATAAAATTCTATTTTAATCCATTTACAGTTATTATAATCATATGACATTACCAGTCATAGTAGTGGTAAACTAGTGGTTGTCATTTAGAAATGTAATATTACCATATTTCCATCTAGCTTTTAAATGCTTTACAATATTATCATCATCAGTGTGATCCTCACCACATGGCAGGTGCTATTATCATCCCCATTTTACAGATGAGGAAATTTAGGCAAAAAAAAATGGTTAAGTGGCTTGTTCAGGCTCATACAGCTAGTTAAGTGTCTGAGGTGGACTCTGAACTCAGGTCTTTCTGACTCCAGGTCCAGTGTTCTACCTACTGTACCACCTAGCTGCCTCTGTATGTGTCTGATCTACATTCAGACTGTGCATACATTTTACTGAAGTGACCTGTATGTGAACTGTACCAATGGCTGTGCCCAAATTACCTATCTGCATTGAAAGAGGGCATGAATAAAAATGGTTGGTTAAGAAGAGGCAAAGTGATGCAAGTGGTTCCTTGACTCCTCCAAAGAACAACTGGCCTTGCACGCTTCTGCACTTTACTTAATGACACAATGTAAAATGAAACGATGTAATCCTACTTCACACGAGAGAGATAATTATCACATCAACAAGAGAAATCCCCTCTGGCCAGGCCGGCCAATCAGGGCAGTTTTTATCAATTAGAGAGACCTATGCTTTTACCTGCTGAAGCTCTTGCTCTCTTTGCACATGCCTCATTTCCATATGTTTGATTTTTCTTTCCAGACCCATGAAATGTTTCATCTCCGGGGTATGGCTTTCTTTAGCCTCTCGCAATTCTTCCAACAGTTTTGAAATCTACAATCAGAAGTACAGACCAAATAAGTGAAATACTACTTTCTCATACTACATCCAAAAGTTGTTTTTGAAAGAATGAAGAGGTCCCTTTTATTTTGTTTCTTTTTAAAATATTCAAGATCAGAAAGTGCCTTCTTTTTTAAAAAATTTAATTTATTTTAGTTTTCAACATTCACTTCCATAAGATTTTGAGTTTTAAATTTTCTCCCCCTCCCACTCCCCCCCAGCATACATTCTGATATAGGCTCTCATATACATTCATATTAAGCATATTTCTCCATTAGTCATGATGTAAAGAACAATTAGAACTAGTGGGAGGAACCATGAGAATGAAGCAGTAAAACAAAACAACAAAGGAAAAGGAGAGCAAATAGTATGTTTCCATCTGCATTCAGACTCCATATTTCTTTCTCTGGGTGTGGATAGCAATTTCCATCATGAATCTTTTGGAGTTGTCTTAGATTCTTGTGTTGCTGTGAAGAGCCAAGTCTATCAAAGTCAGTCATCCCAGAATGTGGCTGTTACTGTGTACAATGTTCTTCTGATTCTGCTCATTTCACTCTGCATCAATTCATTTAAGTCTTTCCAGGTTGTTTTTAAGTCTGCCTGCTCATCATTTCTTATAGCACAATAGTATTCCATTACATTCATATACCACAACTTGTTCAGCCATTCCTCAATTGATGAGCATCCCCTCAATTCTGAATTCTTCGCCACCACAAAAAGAGCTGCTATGAATATTTTTATACATATGGGTCCTTGAAAGTGCCTACTTCTTAACAGGGTAAGTGTCTACTTATTGAGGTAAATGATACCTTCCTATTTCTCCACCCAATCCCAGACGCTCACCTTGGTGTGCCCAGGCCTTAAAAGTCTTAAGAGCTGGCACTGCAGCAGCCCTTATTATACGAAACCATGCTGGTTCTGATGCTTACTTTGGTGGTCTTTGCTTGGCCACAAGAGTTCCCCTTTTTCAGTGAAAGTAGTGGGAAGGCTACAAATCGATGACTTAGACTGAGATTTACTGCATCAGGAAGCTTAGAGATATTGTCCTTTACTTGCATCTACTTAAAAACTTATGTTCCAGAGTAAATAGGAAGTTGAGAGAATAAATATTGACCAAGGCAAGACGAATAATACAAAAGTATGAAAATAATTTATTCCTCAGGAAATAAAACTATAAGCTACCTCCTAGCTCTGTTATTTTAATAGTGAGAAGTCTGAAGACCATTTGCATGAAGCACATCACTAAAAGATGGACTAAATAAGATGCCTTGTACATAGTAGGTACTTAATAATAAATGCTTGTTGGCTCTTTAAAAAGTAAGTACTTAATTGAAGCATAAATTGAATTGAGAAAATAATCAATTAAAAAAGCATTTATTCAATACTTACTATGTGCTGGCACTGAGCTAAGCATGGTGGGGGGTAAGGGGGCTGTCTATGTCCTTAAAAAGCTTACATTCTAGATGGACAGACGTGTCCATATATAGGTGCACACAAGATTCAAGAGAGTTGATGAAACATAATGAGGACTGAGGTCACTGGCTTTGGCAATTAAGAGATCAGCGGTGACTCTGGGGAGATATTGCAATCAAATGATACGGTCAGAAGCCAGACTGTGCAGGGTTAGAACTGATTAAGAAAAGGAAGTGGAGGGGCCAACTGTATATGCTTTTTTCACATTTAGCTGAGAAGGAGATAATAAAAGGGTGACCACTAGCAGAGATGGTGGGATCAGGTGAGTTTTTTTTTTTCTCTTAAAGTATAGGGGAAACATGAGCATGATTGTAGCCAGCCAGGAAGGAGCCAATACACAGAAAGTAATTAAAGATAAGAAAGACAGTAGGAATAACAGTGAGGACAACCTGTTGGAGAAGTTGGGATGGAATCTAGAATGCATGTAATTGGCCTTACTTTGGCAAGAGAGGCTACCTCTTTATGATAGAGAGAGATGCAGGAGATAGTGGGGTAAGATATCTCAGTGATTTGAGATGAGATGAAAGGAAGAAGAGGGAGTTCTCAATGATTAGCCTCAACTTTTTTGATGAAATGTGGCAAGGTCCTTAGCTCAGAGGAAGGGGAAAGGGGGTGCTGTAGAGGCTTGAGGAGGAATTGAAATGTTTAGAATAGCTGCTGTGGTGAAAGGGAAAGTGAAACATCTAGGGAGCTATAAAACGTTTGCCTCGCTGAAGTGAGGGCTCACTGGAGATATGTAATGGGCCAACTGAGCATGGCTTTGTGACCTTCTCCAGTTCTATTCAGCAGCATGTGAATAGAAGGGAATGTGATGGATGTTGGGAGTCATTCAAGGTTGGGGTCGGGCAAGGCATGATCAGTGATAGGAGAAGGCAGGGTAAGGAATTTGAGTATAAAGGACAATGTAGCATTTAATGGAATCACCAAGACATTGGGACAAGGAAGAGAGGAGAGTGTGGTCAGTGCAGGGATGACGGCCTGGGAGAGAATGGAGGGGAGGAAGGACTGAAGGTCATAGTGAGGATGAAGAACCAAGCTTAAGGGTCATAAAGAAAAGGAAAGATGTAATGAAAGAAGATTATGACCAGATAAAGCACGTTTAGTTTTGTGACATAAACCATAATCTCTTTCTAAAAATTTAATTAAAATCCATAATGCAAAGAAAACTATTAGGATTTACAGGTCTATAGCTTAGTTTCTTCATTAGCAGAACACTTTTTAATATCTATTCTCTTAATTCTTAGATTCAGTCAAGTTCAGGTTAATGTACAAATAGTCAAATGTAAATACATGGTGACTCCAAGATTTGATGATTTTATAAATAATGTTGAAGAATTACATCAAAGGATAGCTGCAATACCTTTGAAACATTAAACAAAGTTAATAAACAGGCCCTGACATATGAAAGGGAACTGTTGCCACCCAATCATTCACTGGAGCTGCTTTCACTAAGGTGATCAATGATCTTTTAACTAGTAGATCCAAAGGCCTTTTCTTAAGACTTCAACCCCTGAACTCTTCCTGCGGCTTCTGCCAGAGTTTCCTCTTTCTTCCACCTCACTCCACCTTCTCAGCAGGTTCTCCCTTCACCTGTCTGACCTCCTGCTCAGTTTCCTTTGCTGGAATATCATTTTTCTCTTAACTAATAAGTATTTGTGGAAGCCACGGCTCTATGCTGGATGTTCATTTCTTCTGGTATTGTTGCAATTTCATCTTGTTTACTATTTTGTTGATTTGAATTTCTTTAAGTTATATTGATCACTTCCATAGTTTTTTGGCTTCCAGTTTGTTTATACTCCTATAATTTTACGTATCTCCTCTTTTGTGCTTATTTTAGATTTATTTATTTGTTGGCTGGCTAATTTTTTAAATGCACATTCAGATCACTGTATCCACAAAAGGGAGAAGTTAATCCTGCTTTAATCTACCCTTGCTAAACTACTTCTGAAATACTGCGTTTAGTTCTGAGTACCTTATTTTATAAAGTCATGCGAGCATCCAAAGGAGTATGAACGGTTGTTGCTGTTACTCGAAGAGGACCAATGATATCACTGATGTGTTGACTTGTGTGTGAACTGGATTTAAGTGAGGCAGAGTGGCACAAAGCAGTCAGCCTCACTCTTTCAGAGTCATCTAAGTCTAGTGGCAAGACAATGTCAAGAGGACCAATGACGGCTGGGATACAGTGGATGACCTTGACATCTTTGATGTCTGACCGAGCTCTGAGCACTCCATGGCACCTGCTTCAGCCGCCTCCGTGACCACTGGAATGAACTGCTCTCATACGCCCATCCCAAGTGTAAATACGGTAGTAAGGGATCTTAAGGTCATGTTAAATGAAGATCAGTAGAGAGAATGGGGGATGTACAGCCTGAACAAAAGACTTGGGTAGAAGGGGATGGACATGACATAACTGTCTTCATCTATTTGAAAGACTGCCATGTGGAAAAAGATGAGACTTGTTCTGCTTGGCTTATAGGGCAGAACTGAGAAAAACTGGTAGAAATTCCAGAGTCAGATTTTTAGCTTAAAAAATGAAAAACTTTCGAATAATCATAGCTACCAAAAAGTGAAATGGATCTTTCCTCTCACTAGAAATAATCAAATGAAAGCTAGAGAGGATGGGCTCTTCCAGTCCTTCCTATCTTCCAGTCCTGAAATTCTGGGATATGATTTAAGTCCATGTGCTTCATGATTTTATTTTATAATACCTATGCCCATCCCTAAATGAACCAACTGCCATTCATATCATGGATTCTGCCCACCAATGGCAATTTACAAAGATATACATAATAAGTCATTAAGGAAGATGATATCTGCACTTTCTAAACTGGGTTTTGCAATTTCCCTAAGTATTTTGCCTTCTTACTTGGTAATGAGAAAAATAAATCATAAGTCACAAAAATAATTCTTTTAGTTCTTAAAAATCTCATATTTTAATGAACTATGGCATACTTTCTGCCATTGTTACATTACATCAAAGAACAACTGCAACACTCTTTCAAAGTATTTGCATTTGGGAAATGCAGCTGCTAAGCATTTGCAATTAGGAAAAAATTAAGTTTAGTATCTATCTTATTCGGGAATACTTTTGTTCATTCAATCATTAACATTTTGAGTGTAGACTAGGAAAAGAATATTAGACTTCAGTTCACACATGAATGATTTGCAGAGACATATTTGACATGTGGTTGGTTCTGGTTACTTCTGTGAAGCTCTTTGTTTAAAAAAAAACACGGAAACAAGGATTTGACAGACATTGCAAAAATAACAGAAAATCATTGTACATCTTTTCCATCTCTTACCTCTTTTTGAAGGATTTCCTCTCGAACTTGAGAAATTGCTAAGGATTCTTTACTTCCTTGCAGCTCACTAACCTGTGTTTGGAGATGTTTTATAAGGACCTAGGGAAATGTGCCAAAAACGCTACATTAAAAAAGCCTCATTTTTGAAGTTATTTGAAAAAATGCAAAAATGTTATTTCATGAGCATTTCAATTACTATTTATTCCATATTATTGCTAATCTGAGGGGTCAACATTAAAATGTACAATTCTCTTGTGAAGGATACTGAATAAACTGACTGAAAAAGGATATCCCTTGGCTAACATCCGGCATTTGAAATTATAAGTACACTTTAAGTACAATTTGGAGACTTTGAGAACATTTGGGTTCTACTAGTCTTTTGAAGGTCTCAAAACTCTTATTGCTTTAATGGACTCTGATCAATGCTAGGCATTTTGAAATGGCAGATGTCTAAATCTAAGCATTATAAGCTGAATTCTTTATTATTGTTAATTATAAAGCAATGTGCATCTTCTTGTCAGATGCTTTCTCTTGAAATGAAAGTTAAAAGTTAAATTTTACTAGGATGCTACTTTTAAAACTTGTTAATGCACATAAGCCACACAGTGTGACATACTGGATATTTAATATAGTATACATCAGCTGGCATAAGAGACAATACCATAGAGCTATGTTGTCATGGGCTCATAAGTTGTCAGCATGTTAAATCATGATTATTAGAAAAAATAGTAATGAGGTCAGACTAATGATTAACTGATTTTGATCCAAAAGAAAAGGTGACCTTACATTTAAGAGTTTTTAACTGACATCCTAAGTTCAACTAGCCCAAACCTCACCTGCCATGAATTCACTATATATGTATAGCAAAAGGCGCTTAAAAAAAAGTTTATTTGGGAAACTTGAGGATAAATCTGCACAAAACTCCAGTATTGTTCCAAATACAGATTACCCCACACAAAAACATGTCTTTGAAAGGAACAAAATGACCACTATGATAAAAAAAAAACCAGTTGTTATTAAAATGAATGAAATGAAAAATGAAATGAAAAAATGAAAAATAACAGTCACTTAAGCCTGATTTTTTTTGGGGAAAAAAGTACAGACTATATTGAGACCAATACACAATATTTACAGAGTTCATTTTCTTTTAAAACAGAAAAGTTAAAATTGAAGCATTAGTTTCCACAAAAAACCAATACTTTTCCATTCTTATTCCACAGGCCAAAAATATTTTTTCAATTCTTCAAAAATTAAATAGTGCTCTGTAAGTAGCCACTAAGAAAGTCAGACCTGGTAAAGTAAAAACATAATTATTTTCATGTACCTCTTGTGTTGAGATTTTGCGATTTAGCTCAGCTACTTTGGAAGAAGAATTTTCTATAGCATGTTGGCAAAGAAGTTTTTCTACTTCCCTCTGATGAGAGGCTTTGAGGGCAGCAATGTGCTCTGCTGCATCTTCTTTGGTTCTAGAAAGATGAGGAAAGAAGGCTTAGGCATAATTGTTTCTCCACCTTCTACCAACACTGTATTAACAAAACTATTTCAAGGAACCTCATATTATCAAAGGGAGCACCTTTCTGTCCAAATATGAAGCAAAATTCCTAACCTCTAGTCATTTAAAATGTACCTAAATTTCTTGAATGGATTCCAAGAACAATGAAAGTTTTATCTGCTTGCAGTTCTCAACAACAGTGGTTAGTGTGTATATATTTCTACATATATATAATATCACTTTAAAATTTGCTAAGAGCTATACATATGCCACCTCATTTGATCTTCACAACAACCCTGGGAGGTATCTCCATTTTTACAGATAAGGAAACTGAGGGTAGACAGTGGTTGTAACTTCCCCAGGGTCATACAGCTAGTAAATATCTGAGATAGGATTCAAACTCAAGTCTTCTGACTCCAAGTCCCATGTTCTATCCATCACTCCACCTACCTGCCTCCATAGTCTTTGTTACAGTTTTAACAGAGATGGTACTCATCATTTTTTGTTCCATAATTTCTACGTATGCTAGACTAGAAATAGATTCATATTTGTGGAGGTAAACTGATCTTTATACTTATCCTGGAAGCTACTATTAGACTTCTACTTTTTCTGACTATGAGGGCAGTATCAGAGGTAGTTTACTAAATGACAATATTGTCAAAGAATTAATGATACATCTAACCATAAATAAGTTGACAGTTTACTATATTATTAAAAAATAAGCATAAAGAAGGCTAATGTAAATGAAAAGACCACTAAAAGGTCTCAGATTCTCTAACTTATTTCTACTTTTTTGATAGCATTCAAATGTGGTGTTTTACTAGGTTCACTTAGCTGTTTACCTTTTCACAGTACTTTCAGAGTGGGCAAGTGCTGCTTCAGACTTTGCCCTCTGCTCATTCATTTCAGAAGTCACTTGTTCCAGCTCATTTTGTAATCTGGAGTTTTCTTGTAAAACTTCTGATATGTGGGAATCTGCAAAGGCATGTGGTTCATACAGTTTGCTAGCCAAGGTTTCTGGGATGGACTCAGCGTTCTTTTTACTGGAGGCCAAAAAATCCTTCTTCACCTTTTTGGCAGATCTTTCCTCACTTCCAGCTTTGTCAACTGAGTTCTGATTGGACAGCATCAGTCGTCTCTCTTTTTGAAGTTTTTCTATGGTTTTTGTAAGATCTTGTATTTCTCTTCCTTTTGCAGCCAGTTCTTGATTAAGTCTTACTAGTCTGGCTTTTGTGTGAGCCTGTTCCACTTGGAATTCTAAAGACTGGAAATCTTTATCATCTCTTTCATTCTTCTTGAGTTCTAACTGGGTATTTTGATTTTTAAGAATTTCTATTTCTGCTTCAAGAGTTTTTACAGTGACCTGATGGGCCTCTTTCATGTCACAAAGTTCTTGCTCCAGGGCCTTCATACTGGCTGAGTTTTCATGTTTCTTTTCATCATCTGTTAATTTACTGGCAAGATGTTGTTCAAGCTCCATCACTTGCTGTTCATATTGAATCTGGAAAAAAATTAATATAATGCCCAAGACCTTCTCTAAGTTCATTAAAGTACTTAATAGAATGCTATAGCCTGTTCGTTCAGAACAAAAATTAAAAAATTCCCCAAATGAAAAAATGCATTGTGACCTCATTTATTCGATCATCTACCTATTATTTAATATGCATATAATATCCAGATCAAATAAGTCAAATAGTTAAATAAATACTTAACAGTATACTATACTGTGGATACTTGTTTCATAACCACTGATGTGCTTTCTAAGTTGTTCTTTCAAGTCTTCTCAAACTAGATTTTAAATTCTTTAAAGGGAGTGATTAATTTATCTCTCTGAGACTTGCCTAGAGCATCATCCATAGTAAAAGCCTTTGTGCACAATATAGGCTAAGTAAATAACTATCTCATTAGGAAGCAGCCTCTGAGTGAATCTGGTGACTAATTTTGTTATAGGAATTGGGATCTCATAGGAGCGAGGAAGGAGAACTGCGAGCTTGCAAATGGGATGTTTAGGATAGAAAATAGGACAGAAAATAGATAACTTGAGTAGGCCACCACTGGTCAAGGAATTCCAACTATGCTTCATACTTTCCAAATTAAATTCTTTATGTTGCCCTTATTCATTGGACATTTTATTTACCCCTCATTTATCAATGTTTCTCTGCTTGAGAAATTTGTAGTTTTTACTTTTTTCTTCACTGAACAAACATTAAGTGTCATCTAAATTCAAGTCAGATAGGTGGTGTAGTGGATAGAGTTCTGGGCCTGGACTCAGTAAGACTCATCTTCGTGAGTTCAAATCTGGTTCCCAGACACTTACTAGCTATGTGGTTCTGGGCAAGTCACTTAATCCTGTTTGTCTCAGTTTCCTAATCTGTCAAATGAACTGAGAAGGAAACGGCAAACCACTCCAGTATCTTTGCCATGAAAACCCCAAATAGGGTCATGAAATGTCAGCTACAACTGAAACAACAACAAAATTCAAGGTGATGCATTAGGTACCACAGAGATTTGGGGGAGGGGGATGGTCTAGGGAGAAAATGGTTTCTTAAGCCCTTTTCTGTATCTACTTTATTATTTCTCTCCTTTAAATAATCCTCTAGTGTTTGGTGAAGAACAGAGGAAAGTAAATCATGCCTGTTGAAGGCACATTCCCACTTTCCCTGTCTGTCTCCTGACTTCAGGGGAAAATCATAAGCATTTTAAATTACAGAAATTTCAGAGATACGATTCTCCTGCCTTTGTAATCTTGCTACTCTAGGGAATAGACGACAATTTATTTGTATTTCAAAAAGACAGTACTTCTCTTATATAGCTCTGTTAGACGTCTATGGATGAAATGAAAATATACTGTAGGAGGGCCTAATGGCCTAATGGTAGGATACCATAGCCACACATTTCTCACTTGTGGCTGCCAGAAGCTACCCATAGATGCAGCTCATTCAGAAGAAGATGAGGATAGGATTAAACTGCAAACAGTATGCTTTAAAAGGATGCTGACATAATTCCTGGGATAAACATGTCCATTTTTAAATGAACCCCTCTGCATAAACTCAAACTTGTTCGGACACCTACTTTCTTGAATTCTCTTGCCTGTAAAAACAGACCGAGTTTTCCCGTTTATGTTCTTGGATTCCAATGTGGCCACAATGCTAACCTGCACTTCTGCACCTTGATTAGGCCTTCTGACTGTGGCTTGACTTACTGATTAACTCAACCTCCTGTTAATTTTGAGGATAGTGAATTCTCTTACCATGAATGACCTACTCTTTCGCTACCTACAGGCCAGTCCTCTATGAGGGATTCTTAGGCACAGCCCCTGGCTACCTTTGGCGTTGGTTGGATGTGGGGCCAGAAGGAACAGATCTGGGCAAAGCTCTAAAGATAATGCTTACAACTGCAACAAGAGGTAGGTAAGATGTTTAGGTAATAAGAGGACATATTAGCCAAAATAAGTGTCAAGAGTTTCCCTAGATCTTCATTATCTATACCATCCTATTGTCCTTTTATCAGAAATAACATATTCTTACCTTTATTTTTTGAAATTGCTGTTCCATAGTACGAAGGCTTTTTTTTGCTTCTTCATCTTTACCCTCAAGCTCAGCTTCTAATTTTTTTATGCGTTTTTCCATAAATTCAACTGTATTTTTAGGTGAAATACCTATATCACCTGCTGCTGAGGCAGCCAATATTAAAGCAGGTAAAGAATTAGGATACCTTCTTTTTATAATTCCTTCCATTTCTTTAACCTATTAAAATATGATTGGGAACATGAAAATTAACAAGTATAGTGAATTATTTAATATATAACCTTATATAGCTTGGACTATATCCATCAAATCTGTTTTTACAAATATGCCACAGTTAATACTTGTATCACACTCCTAAACTGTATCAAACGCAAAGTACAGACAGTTATTACTTTACACAGGTGGACTGTTCTGTAGACTTCTACATAAAGCAATTTTTATGAAATGAGAATTTGCTGTGGACTTGAGGAAGGGAACCAGTGAGGCGGGAAGGGTGCTGGCACATAGTTCAAGGACATACACAGGATGGGGACAGAAAAGCAAGAGCAGGAGGAGGAGCCTAGCTGGAACTGAGAGGAAGAAGATGTGGAGCAGTGGTTGGGGGTGAAAGGAGAGCACACACATAGGGGCCAGACATGGACACAGAGACTGAAAGTGGACACAAAGGAAAGGACAGGTAACATGAGGGGCCGGGGACAGACACGGACAAACAGAAAACAGATGTGTTGGAAGGGTGGCCAGAGCGGGGCAAAGGTCTCCTCTTTCCACACTGGAGGTCTCAAGTCAAGGTCCCCTAATCCCTCCTCTAGGAGGTTTGTTTGTTTGTTTGTTTGGGAGGGGTTGGGGAGGCCATGGAATGCCAAGCCAAGGGGCAGGAAGCAAGAGAGAGAGCAGTAAAGTACAGTAAAGTTAACACAGGTTTGTTTGGTTTTTTTTGGAATGTGGGATTTCTTTCAGAATTTTTACATAAAATTAAAGATGTACAATATGAATTTATGTACAGTGAGAACTATCTGTAGTACGGTATATATTGCACTGATCTTGTTTCCCTCAGAGATGATGATTTAAGAACCCCAGCAGTTCAGAGCCTAAATTGTTCAAGTGCCAAAGGGAGACAGTTGTGGTAGTGGGAAAAGTGTGGAATTTGAAACCAGATGATGAGTTCAAATCCTGGCTCTGCCATTTACTTCTTGTATGACTTTGGTCAAGTAATTTCAGTTTTCTGGGTTCAGTTTCCTCATCTGTAAAGTGACGATGATCTCCAAGGGCCCTTTCAACTCTCTATCTGTAATCCTATTGCATTACTAGGAACTACATCTAACATTTTCTCTAAGTCATTATAGTAGCGGCATTAAAAATACTTTACATTTACCTAGAGCCAAACAGTTTGCAGGGAAGTTTCACATCTATTATTATTCTCTGCGGTATCTTTGAAAATTCACTAACTTCTGTTGAAACTGAAGCAATTCAAAATGTCTCCTTTCACTTAGGTAGAGGAAGGGGCTGAATGACTCAAGTAAAATAAACTCAGAGCACTGAAACCCTCCACAAAGTCTGCCTCTGATACCTTATCATGGCCTGGTGGAGAACATAGATTTACAAAGGCTAGATCTGAACACAAGTTCTGAAAAGTTCTATGATGATGGAAAAACTTCAAGTACAATGCCAATAACAGATGATATATGTTCTTTCTGAGGTCAGCCAACCTAAGCAGAGGGTACCTTATCACCAGTATGATGGAACACCTACTGATGAATTCTTGGGCCATGGGAATCCAGGAAACCAAGGAAAATATAAAAAAGCTCTCAATTCTATGCAGCCTTCTTCTACTTCTGTAGTGATATAAGAGGTAGAAGAGTTAGAGGATGCTAAGAATTATGTAGTTGTAGATCATCTACAAATATTAGCTCCTAGAACTCTAATGGCATAAGGTGGAACCAGAGAGTTATTTTAATTAGTATTTTTTAATTTTTAGTGAATTGTAGCATTTTTTAACATGGCTATGGATAGCTTGCCTTTCTTCTTTTGAAAACTAACTATTCTTATTCTTTGACAAATGGCATATGAATGTAATGGAATATTGACATGCCATAAGAAATGACAATAAGGATGGTTTCAAATAAACCTGGGAAGACTTGTATGAACTGATGCTGAGTGAAGATGGCAGAACAAGGAAAACAATTTATAAACCACCACCACCACCTACCTGAAAGGCAAACAACTCTGCAAAACTTAAGAACGCTGATTAATGCAATTACCTACAATGACAATGATTCCAGAAGATGGATGATGAAGCATACTACCCCACCTTCAGACAGACAAGTGATATGAGTGAGACAAATATTTCTGGATACAGGTAATGTGATTATTTCTTTTGTTTAACTATTCATATTTGTTACAAAAAGTAAATTAATTTTTCTTTAAACATTTGTTAGAATTCAGTTGTAAATCTATCTGGTTCTGGGTTTTTTTCTCTTGGAGTTCCTTTTGGCTTGTTCATTTTTTGGGGGGGAGTGATGGGTATTTTAATTCTTTATTTCTTGTTCTGTTAGTCTAAGTGTTTTATATTTTTGTAAATATTCATTGTACTTATTACTTTTGGGGCATATAATTGGGCAAAACGGTTTCTAATCCTTTCCTCTACCTTTGTTGTGACTTCTTTTTCATTTTTTTTTATATTGGTAATTTAGCTAAATTAAATTTAGCTAAATTAAATATTTTAGCTAAAAATGTAGCTAAATTAAACTAAAAAGTTTATCTTTTTTATTAGTTTTTTAAAAAACTCCTTGTTTTATTTATTAATTCAATGTATTTTTTGTTTTAAATCATGGCTGTCTTTGATTTTCAGAATTTATATTTTTGTGTTTGGTTGAGGTTTTTTGATTGTTACTTTCCTAATTTTTTAGCTGTATTCCCAATTGGTTGAGCTGTTCTTTCTCTTTTTTGTTCCTTTTTTTTTTGTTGTTGTTATTTTAGGCAATTGGGTTAAGTAACTTGCCCAGGGTCACACTGAGGCTGGATTTGAACTCAGGTCCTCCTGAATCCAGGGCCGGTGCTCTATCCACTGCGCCAGCTAGCTGCCCCCTTTCTCTTTTCTGTTGATGAAAGTATTGAGTTATTTTTTCTGTAATGACTATTTTGGCTGGATCTCTAAAGTTTGCATATGCTGTCTGTTGTCAATTTCTTTTATGAAATTATCTGTTGTTTGTTTCTATTATTTGTTCTTTGATTTACCAATTTTTTATGATAAAATTATTCAGTTTTCACTTAAGTTTGAATCCTTTCTTCAAATGTCCCTCACTGATTATAACATGTTACTTTATGGTCAGTAAGGGAGTATTTAATATTTCTGCTTTTCTGCATTTGTTTTTGAAGTTTTAACGCCTTAATGCATGGTTAATTTTTTATATTGGTGCCATTTACAACTGAGAAATATGCATACTCTATTCTATTCCCTTTCATTAATCACCAGAGAACTATCATCTAACTTTTCTAAAGTCCTACTCAGGTCCTTAACTTCTTTCTTGTTTATCTTTTTATTAGGTTTGTTAATCAATACATACGTATTGATATTGTTCAGTAATTTCAGTTGTGTCCAACTTTTTGTGACTCCATTTGGGATTTTCTTGGCAAAGATACTGGAGTGTTTGCCATTTCCTTCTCCAGCTCATTTTACAGATGAGGAAATGGAGGCAAACAAAGTTAAGTGACTTACACAGGGTCACTCAGCAGTATGTGTCTGAGGCTGGACTTGAATTGAGAAAGGTGAGTCTTCTTGAATCCAGGCCCAGCATTCTATCCTCTGTGCCATCTAAATGCAAGTATCTACTATGTGTCAGACACCATATTAGGTTATTAGGATATACATAGAAAAAATAAGCCAATATCTACTGGCAAGGAGGTTACATTCTTTTTTTTTTCAGAATTTTTATTTTTTTTTTTCTCAATTACATGCAAAACAATTTTTAACATTCATTTTTTAAAATACATTTTGAACTCCAAATTGCCTCTTTCCTTCCCTTCTTGAGAAGGTAAGCACTTTAATATAGATGATACATGTACAGTCATTTTTATTCATTCATTCATTCATTTTTTTGTTAAGGCAATGGAGTTAAGTGACTTGCCCAGGGTTACATAGCTAGTAAGTGTCAAGTGTTTGGTCTGAGGCTGGATTTGAATCCAGGTTCTCCTGACTTCAGGACCGGTGCTCTATCCACTGTGCCACCTAGCTGCCCCATATACAGTCATCCAAAACTTTTTCCATTATCAGTCAGGTTACAAAAGACAACACAGATTTAAAAAAGAAAGAAAAATAAAGTAAAAAAAAAGTATGCTTGATCTTCAATCCAACTCCATCAATTCTTTCTCTGGAGGTGGATAGCATTTTTCATCATAAGACCTTCAGTATTATCTTGGATCATTGTATTACTAAGAATAGCTAAGTCATTCATCAGTGATCACTGTACATTATTGTTATTACTCTGTACAATGATCTCCTGGCTCTGCTTAGCTTACTTTGTATCTATTCTTATGTCTTCCCAAGTTTTTCTGAAACCACCCTGCTTGTCATTTCCTATAGCACAATACTATTCCATCACAATCTTATGCCACAACTTGTTCAGCCATTCCCTACTTGGTGAGCATCCCTTCAATTTCCAACTCTTTTCCACAAAAAAAGCTATTATAAATATTTTTGTACATATACGATTTTTTCCTTTTCCTTTGATCTCTTTGGGATAGACTTAGTAGTGGTATTGCTGGGTCAAAAGGTATGCACAGTTTTACAATCCTTTGGGCATAGTTCCAAATTATTCCCCAGAATGTTTGGGAGAAAGTCCGTTTAACTATATCACAGAGTGCAAGAGAGGGAGTAAATACATTATTTATAATAAATTCTGCTGATTTAACTCTGTATAAAGTTATTTAATGTGTTTCTTGTAAATATCATTACTGGATTGCTGGATTTTACTTTTCTAATCCATTCTGCCATCTTCCTGTGCTTTATGGGTGAGTTCATCACATTCACGTTTAAACATCTTGATTATGAATTATGTTTCCTTCATTATCATCTCACATTTTTTCTTGTTCTTTTTACTATTTTCTTTACAAAGAATAAGTAGATGGAGAAATAGAAGGAATATGATCAACATTAGATATTTATAATTGAATTAATCTGTTCCTACTCTTCTGTTCTATTCTCTTTACTTGGACTTTGATCTTGTTCTTATACTTTCACTTTTAAATTTCCTCTTCACGATTAACCTCTCCAAAGCTGAAGGTTCCTTTGGTTGTGCCTATTTACTTCATGACTCTACTCTCCTTCTTTTACCCACTTCCCCCCTTCCTTATGACCACCTGTATCTCTGTTAAATTAATGTATTTCTATACCAAACTCAGTATTTATATGTGTTCAATTCTCGTTTATATAGTTTAGATAAAAATGAGGCTACAATATGCCTGCTTTCATTATCCCTTCCTTTATACTTATATGCTGTTCTTGTCATGCATATCATTTATGCAAAATAGTTTTACCTCTTTCTTCCCATGTCTTCCTTAGCGTATTCCTTTTTCCTTCCCTTTTCTTTCTACTCTTAAAACCTATGAAACAGAACAAAACTACACACAGATCCTATATCTGTCTCTTTAAGACACTAGGATTTTTAAGGGATATTTGTATCTTCTTTTATTAGAATATAAATATGTTATCACCATTTATCCCTTTTCAGTTGCTCAAATGCATTTGAATTCCAATATTTCTGTTCTGCTCAAGTCTTTTTATCAGTAATACTTTAAAGTCCTTTTATATTAAAACCACATTTGACCCTTGTAGATTATACTTAGTTTTGAAAGGTAAATTATACTTGGTTTTAAGTTTTTATCTTTTGCTTTTTGGATTACTTTATTCAAATTTTTCTTTTCCTTTATAGTAGTTGCTGCTATCTTATGTGATTCTGACTGTGGTTCCTTAGTCCTTAAACTCTTTCTTTCTGGATGCCTAAAGTATTTTTTGTTTGACTTGGAACCTCTGAATTTGGGTTATGACATTCCTGGGTTCTAATAGATCTGGGCAGGTTTTTTTTTTAAATAGTTTATTGAAATATGCTGTCTAGGTTTTTGTTTGGTTATGTTTTTCTGGGTGTCAGATGATCCTTAAATTATCTCCTCACTCTGTTTTCTTGGTCCACTTTTTGGATAGGTGATACTTTACATGTTCTTCTAACCTTCTTTTGGCTCTGTTCTAATATGTCTTGGTGTGTCATAGAATTACTGTGTTTTATTTGTTCCATTTTATTTTTCACAGAGTCTACTAGCTGGGTAAGGTTTCTCACCTTCTAAGTTTTTTATTATCCTTCCATTTTTTTTAAGAGCTCTAATTTCCTTAAAAAAAAAACAACAAACAAAAACCTCTTGCCTCAAGCCATTTTTTCTCTTTGAGATTTTGCTTGTAATTGTGTTATATCCAATTCTTCTGGGTTTACCTCTTATTCTTAAGCTACTACGTTTTTCATTGATTTCAGCGTTTTCTTCTCTTTACTCATATTTGCATCCTTGTGTCTTAGATTGGGATTTTGTACTTGGACTTAATTTTTTTTTGAAATCTTTAGTTTTTATGGAACATTCACTTCAAATATACCTGTCTTCCCTTAAGCATTCTTAAAAAAGAAATTTTAAAAAAGAAGTGCAGAAAAATTAACCAACACATTATCTGTGTCTGACAGTATATCCCATACCCAAATTCTTCCACCTCTTTAATCAATCAATTAATCAACTGACAATCATTTATTAAACACCTATTATGTTAGGCACTATGTTATGTGCTAGGAATACAAATTAAAAAAAATAAACAATCCCAAGTTTCAATGAATTTACATTCTAATGGGACAGACAAATACTTATACAGAGTGTCCCAAAAGTCTTGGTGCAGTTTATAATAATAAATAATGTAACTACTAAAGCTTAAAATTGCACTAAGGCTTTTGGGACACCCTGTATAAGTATATAGATAAATAATGTAAGGAAAATATATGTAAATAAATATAAACTAGTAAAATATCACATAGTTTGGGAAGGTGACATAAGCAATTGGGGGGTGGTGGTGGTCAGGAAAGACTTTGTGTAGATGGTGCTTGAGGTGAATCCTGAAGGAAGAGAGAGAGAGTCTATGAAGTGGAGGCAAAAAGAGAATACATTCTAGGCATGCAGGTTGTCCAGTGCAAAGGCACATAGATAGGAGATGGAGTTTGGTGTGTGATGGAAAGGAAAAGGGGAGGGGAAGGGACAGAGGGTGGATGAGAAAGCAGGGGTAAGTTAATAAAGAGAAAGGGGATCACAGATTACAAGAGGGTTGGTATTATTCACTAGGTCAAGTTTGGTCATTATAATTTAAAACATAGCATTCTATTTCATTGTTCTTATTTAGATGATTGTAGATATTGTGTATTGACTTCTTGGTTCTGCTTACTTCACCTGTCATCATTCATAAAAGTCTTCCTATGCTCTGAGTTCTTCATTATTAGTCACTTCTTATGGTACAGTAATATTCGTTTATATTCACATCCCCCAATTTGTTCAGTGATTCCACATACAAGAACCTATTTTATTTTTGATTTTTTGTTACTATAAAGTGGTGCCATGAATACTTTGGTGTATATGAGAACTTTCTATCTTTGACCTTCTTGGCATATATACCTCACAGTTGAATATCCAGGTCAAATTCTCTAGTCACCATTTTTTAAAAGCATAAATCTAAACGGCTTTCCAAAATAGGCAGACCAATTGTGTTTATCTGTTTTATAATAGTTCACCCACAATAGTCAATATTGAATATTTCTATCTTTTGTCATCTTTTCTAATTTGCTGTGTGTGAAGTGAAACCAGGGATTTTTAAAAAAAATTTGCATTTCTCTTATTATTAGCAATTTGGAACAATCTTTATGTGGTTGCTAATAGCATGCAATTCTACTTCTGAGAACTGTTTGTCCATATCCATTGACCACTTACCTATTAGAGAAAGCCTCTTGGTTTTATATTTTTGTGTTAATTCTCAATATATACTTCAACACTTTATTGATGTTTTCTCTAATTCTATATCACAAATATTTTTAACCTTATAGAGAGCCATCTTAAAATATACAAATGAGAATTACAGATCTAAAGTAACATTATTAGTGTTTTCCCAAGGAAAACAAAATTATTTTTCCTCAGAGAGGGAAAAACACATTGGTTACAAAATACTTTTAATATGAAATCAAACTTAGCACATACTTGTCGTTCAAGATCCTGAATTTTTTTAGCATCAGCTGCTCTGTCTTTCAGATGTAACTTCTGTTGTACAGACTGATTACCGGCTTCTGTTTTCAGTTTTTCAACCTGTTCAACCACAAGAAAAAGGCATACTGAAAGGCAATTTAACATGTAAAATAAGCATGTGGTGTGTGGCCCACGGAAAAAGAACATTTCAATTGGTTTCAATGAGTGAACAATCCTGGTAATCACCTGCTTTATTTTTTTCTCTGGTGGTGGTGAAAGAACTAGGTGGCAATTTAATTCAACAAACATTTATGTGTCTACTATGTGTAAGGCACTATGGTAGGCCCTGTGAATTCAATGACGAAACTGGAATAAGTGCTCGTAATGTAATAAGGGAAATGAGACATGTTACAACACAAATGACTATATCACACAGTTTTGATAGTAAAAGAGGCCCATCAAAGTGTCATGAGAAATTCAAGCGGGGAGAGATCATCTCCAGCTGAGGGATTGGGGAGCTTGGTGAAAAGGCTGGAACCTGTTTTTGGGACTGAAGAAAGGGAAGGATTTCATCTAGTCCCTGCTGGGAGAAAAGAGTCTGCTTGAGGCCAAGAATACAAACAAAGGCAAGGAGATCAAAGAGGGCAGAATGAGAGTGGAGGAAAAATAGTCAGGTTTGACTAGAATGAAGAAAGCAAGCAGAGTAAAGAACACAGACTGAAGAGCTTGTCAAAGCCAGTGAAAGGAAGATCATGAATGCTCAGACTTTGAGTATCATATCTTAATTGGTAAATCACAAAGAATCACAAAAGATTTTTAAGGAGGAATTGGTGTGATCAAAATGGTGTATTAGGCTAAACAGGAAGCAGGATGAAGATGACATTTAGGAGGGAAGAAAGTGTAAGTAGCGATATAAGTGAGGAGACTATTACAACAGTCTTGGTGAAGGTTATAAGAGACCAAATTATAGTGGTAATAGTGAAAGTGGAAAAGAGTAGATACATTTGTAAGCTATGGTGGAACTGGAATCAACAACTTGACACTGAATGGATACTGGGGGTATGGTGAAGAATAGTTAAAGAAGACAGCTGTTGAGTCTGGGTGGCTAGAAGGATGATTGTGCCATCCACAAAAATGGATATATTAAGAGAAAGGGCTAGTTGAGGGATAAAGATGACAAATTTAGTTTTGAATATGTAGACATTTTCAGTGGGACATCCTTGGGGACATCTATCAGACTCCTGGAAATGTGAGACTTTAAGTTTGGGGCGAAGTTGAGAAGATTTTGGAGGCACAGGAGGAGAGGTAGAGTGAGAGAGAAGGGAGGGGAGAGAAAAGAAGACATAGAAGAAGGGAGAGGAGATAAAAGAGGAAAGGAGGAAAGAAAGGACAAGCTGTCAGGCCTTTAGGAAAAGCCCCTTTCCCATCTTCCCCACTCACTCCTCTAACATTAGTTCTTATATTAGAACAACTGAATATTAATGCATTATTTTGCAAAAGCCAATATTATTACTACAACGAAGACTCATGATCTTCAAAAATTTGTACTTCACTTTGAGTTAAGAATCCAAAGATTTGAGATAAACATGAAAACTTGTTCATGCCTAGCAATGACCTACAATCTATGATTATATCCAGGTATCAAAAACTATTTTTAAGATGTCAAAAATATTTATAAAACTACATATAAATGCTGAGAAAAATGTTATATCAGAATTGCTACAGAAGCAAATTCTGAATTATAACCATTACCTGGAGTTTGAGCTTCTCAATTTCTTCATTTGCCTCTTTAAGCCGAACAGCATCTTTATCCAAAAGTTCCTGATTTTCTGCATACCACTGTAATCTCTTCTGCAAATGACTGATTTCTTCTTTGTGAGTTTCTTCCATGAGCTTTATCTCATAAGATTTCTCACCTACAAAATAAAATGCCTCTAAATGCACTGAAGTCTTTTAAAATACAAAAACAGAATCACAGAATTTTACAAGTTGGAGGGAACCTCAGGGATTATGTGGACCTTCCTAAACAGCAATCTCTCTATAGCAAGGGTTCTTTATCTATTTATTGCATTCTCAATAAATTATTTATTTTGATTTTTATTATCTTTCCCTCTTGCTTTCCCTCCCCTTAAACAATAAAAAAAGCATAAACCTTGATAACAAATGCATAGTCCAATAAAACAAATTCTATATAACTATAATTTATGCTATTAGGGAGGCTGAAATTGGTAAGATAGTTTGTACTTGGGAGTTCTGAATTACAAGAGGGCTAAAGGTAATCAGATGTCCACATTAATCTGGCACCAGTATGGTCATCACTGGGGAGCTACTAGTGTACCTGCGGAAGGATGAACTGGCCTACGTAAGAAACATAGCAGGTGAAGACTTTGGGGCAAACCACAGTGACAAAGGAAAGGCCCATAAGTGGCTGTTGTACTTCTGGCCTGGTAGAGACAGGCAGACCTATTTTCAAGACAAAATTCTATAGCAGGGGTTCTTAACCCGTTTTGTGCCATGGACTCTATTGGTAGTCTAGTGAAACATATGGACCTTTTCACAGAGTCATATTTTTAAATGCACAAAATAAGAAAAAAAGATTATAAAGGAAACTAATTATATTGAAATATATCAGAATACTAAAAAAAAAAATACAAGTTCACAGACACCAGGTTTTTAAGAACCCTTTTTTACCATATCCCTGAGAAGTGATCATTCAGTTTCTGCTTGTAGATTTCCAGGGATGGGGGATCAAAGTGTGTTTGGAGAGAGAGCTCTAATTGTTAAGAACTCTTTCTTTCATTGGTCCTAAACCTGCCCCTCTGCTACTTCTATCCAGTTTCTTTTTAAAAATTTTATTTTATTTTCCAATTACATGTAAAAATAATTTTTAACATTCGTTTAAAAAATTTTTAAGTTCCAAATTCTTTCCTTCCCTCCTTCCCCTACCGCCTCCAAGATGGCAAACAATTTGATATGTTATATACATGCATAGTCATGCAAAATATATTTCCATATCAGATATGTGAAAGAAAACACAGACCAAAAAAAAAACCAAACCCAAACCAAACAACTCACCAAAAACACAAAGAAGGTAAAAAATTGTGTGCTTTGATTTACATTCAAACTCAATCAGTTCTTTCTCTGGGGGTGGGATAGCATTTTTTTGTCATATTACCCACTGTTTCTAATACAACCTTCTGAGGCCAAGCAGAAAATCCTAATACCTTCTTTTATATAATAAATGGTCCTTTAAATACTTAAGGTGTCCCCCCTTAAGGTGTTCTCCTCTCCAGGATAATCATTATCAATTCATGACATGGTTGGAGGTGAAATATCTCAAGTGCCCCCTTCACGATCCCAACAATTTTCCTCTGAATTCACCCCAGTTTGTCAATATACCCCTTCTTCTGGACACCACGATTTGATGCACTCCAAGAGCATGAAGTTACCCATAATAATAATAGTAATAGAGCTTTCAGGTTTATAAAGCACTTTACATATTTTACCCCATTTGATTCTCATAACAACCTTGTTAGGTTTTATACACATTTTACAGAGGAGACTGGCTGGAAGAGGTTAGGTGATTTGCCCAGGGTGATACAGCTAGTTAAATGTCTGAGCTACGATTTGAATACAGGTCTTCCTGGCTAAATTTTCTGGTCTCTCCATTAACCATTTTATTCACTTCCTTGACTTCTGTGCCCTTTTGTAAAAATTGCAAGCTTCACTCTTAAGTAAACAACTCCTAACTATTTTTATTGATCTACTGGAAACTGTTTCCCACTTATAACGTTCAGAACTGTGCTTGGATATTTATTATACGGTACCCCACCAGTGACTCCTGAAACATGGAAAGACCTAGATAGAATAAGTTTCCCAAATACTATAAAACCCATGGCCCTGATCTGTATCATCTGAGGTACCCTACTATGGAAATGATGAAGGATCCAAAGGTACCTACCGATTAACCAGGGGTAGTAATGAGAACTTATAATACTGGGGTATGCAGAGTCCAAGGACAGCCTCTCACAGGACCACTATTCAACCCACATCCTCCTTTTCATGTGACCTGAAGATCACGCTCCTGAAGCCCAACAACTGAGACATGGTGCCCCTTTTCTTGGCCTTGCCCCTTGTGTATGTAAGTAAAGCTTCATGCTTGCCCTTGTGGGAGCTAAATGTGACCTTAATAAAAGAAAGACCGATTTCCTGATTTCTGTGTTACTGGCCTGTCTGATCATTCTTGTCCCAATGCTGCTGGATGGTAATGAGGAAGGACACATCCACTTTTTGGCTGCCATGTCACACTGCTGACTGCTGAGCTTGCGGTTTACTTAAACTCTCAAAACTTGAGACAAAAACAGTCTAATCATGCCTTCTCCATCTCGGATTTGAGCAGTTGTTATTTTAAAGTCCTGATCTGAGCTTTAAGGTCATCTCTACCAATAGGTCCTACTCAGTTTACAAAAGGTGATTTTGTTGTTTTTGTCTCCTTGTGACAGGGCCAACAAGTTTTAATTCATACAATGCTTTCCACAATGGCTGGTTTCTGTGGTTCTGTACCCTTTTTTATCACGCATATAAGGATATGATTTTGCTTCTTAGAATTTGTAACTACAACAGTTAACTTTTGTCAGTTTGGGGAATGTAAATGAATCAGTATTGCTTGCTACAGAATATACATGTGCACATACATTTATACATAGCTACAGTATATTCATACAAAGCAACCCAAAAGTCTTAGTGCAGTTTTAGCTTTAATAAGCTGAGGCCTTGTTAGAGTTTATTTCTCTTTCGTATGAAATCTGTTAGGACTGCATATGTAGAATCCTATAGGAGAAAAATGATCATCTCCATAAGGCCTTTGATTCATTTCTTGACAGAACAATCCAAAGCTGTTCTGTTCTATGGTTTATGAATTCTGTTCTATCAAATGACATGTATTAAATGTCTCTCATTTTTGCTTTCACCCCTAGATATCAGTTGAGGTATCTCCCTCTCTTTCCAAGAATAACTTCACAGATGAAGTGCTCATCTAGGACTATATAACCACATAGCATCTGGCATCATAGCTAGGCCTCCTCTTTGTTAGCTAATTTGCACAAAGGAGGAAGCATTCTAGTTCTACACTCCTATCCTCCTTAATCAATGCTCCAAGACCCCAAGACATAGATCTGGAAGTGGTGGTAGAAGATAACTTTGTTCCCCATGAATCACCATCCTGAAACTTCCTTGAAAGGAAGCAATATCTCTAACATACATTAGAGATGAGATTTTTCCCTACATAAAAAGAGGAAGAGGGTAACCATCTTTGGAGTCACCACAGGATATGGGCAAAGGTCATGTCCCGGCCCCCAATCAGGTAGCAGAATGTAGGCCCATAAGCATCCCATTCCCATTTCTAGCCTGCTGTAAAGACTATAATTGAACAAATCTTTTTTGAACACTTAGATTTTGTGCATGAATTTTCTCTTTCTCTGTCTTGTGTAGATATGTGGGTTGCCATATAATCACTTGGTTGGGGAAGGATTTACAGACAAATAAAGGAACTGAAATGGGGAGGAAAAAAACGACCACGTTTCCTAATTTTTTTTCAAGTTTCCTAGTTTTTAAATTCACAAAACCAGGGAGTTCTCAGTCAAAATGCTGCACTAGGTGGCACTAATTTATACCATAATGATATAAATAATTACTCGAAAGTAATCAGCCTGATGATCCACATAGGTGATTAGGAGAATGTTGGTACCCTTGACAGTAATAGGGAAATCAGGAAGAGAGGAGAATTCTGGGGAAGAGATAACGAACTCATATTTGGACACAAGGAGTTACAATGTATATAAAAAACATACAGTTTGAGATGTCTAATAGGCAGTTGGAGATGTGAAAATATAGGTCAGGAGAGAGGGTAGGGCTAGACAAATAGATCTGAGAATCACCTATGTAGAGATGATAATTGAAGCCATGGGAGCTGATAACATCATTAAGTAAAATAGTATTGGGGCAGCTAGTGTCTAAGTGGCTAGAGCACTGGCCCTGGAGTCAGGAAGACCTGTGTTCAAATTCAGCCTCAGACTTAGCTGTGTGACGCTGGGTAAGTCAGCTAGCCCTAACTGCCTCCTCCCAAAAAAACAAACAAAAATGAGCCCCTAGAGTTAGTAGGCATAGTCTTTCCTGGATGAAAATCCAGTAAAAATCCAGGAAACTGAGGAGTGGTCAGACAGGTAGAAGGTGACCCACATTCTACACAAAAATGTAGAGAAAGAATCAAAGGAAAAAAAGGGTAACTGACAGTGTCAGAGGCTGCAGACATGTCAATCAGAATGACGACTGCGAAAAGGCAATTTAATTTGACAATTAAAAGGTCCATGATAACTTCAGAGGAAGTAGTTTTAGTTGAAGCTGAGGGAAAAGGAAGTGGAGGCACTAGTTGTAGACAGCTTTCTCAAGAAGCTTAGCCACAAAAAGGAGGAAAAATATGGAACAACAACTAATGGGAAAGGATGGAAGATTTTTTTGAGGAAGGGGGAGACGTGTGTGTTTGTAGGTAGTAGAGAAACAGCAAAATAGAGAAAGATTGATGATTAGTGGGAAAGTAGAGATGATAGAGGAGGCAATCTGCTGGAGATGATAGAGATAAATCACTTGTGCATGCATAAGGGTTAGCTTTGGCAAGAAGAAGGGACACCTCTTCGTGCAAGACAAGGGTGAAAGAGGAGATAGTGTCTGAAGGCATCTGAGACTGAGTTCTTGACAAATGGTCTTTTCTCAGAGAAATATTAGGTAAGGTTTTCAGCTGTGAGGCGGGGTGTGTGTGTGAGTGTGTGTGTGTGTGTGTGTGTGTGTGTGTACGCTGAGAGACCTACGCCCAGTTTGAGGAGGAATGGAAAGGACTATAAAAGCCACTGTGGTACAGGGA